GAATTATTGAATTTATTAAGTATGGACAATAGAGAAAGGGAGGATACAATACATAAGGGAAAATGTAGGAATATAGTAGATAGAATAATTGAATCAATAAGGTACAGACAACAACCAAAAATGAAGGAAAAAGGATTGAGAATAATAATTGTAGTAATTGTAAGGGATTGTATTGAAGGAAACTTGGAAAATGAAGTATTTGATCGATTAATAGGATGTCCAGAAATAATGGAACATGGATATATTTTAGAAGATTGGGATGTTGAAAATAGATTTCAAAAATTTTGGGAATGGTATAACACAATATTAGAAAATGATACGAAAGTAAAGCATGTACAACCAAATGCAATAGTAGAATTTAGAAAGTTGTTATACATGGAAGAAAGAATAGCTGAATTAGGAGGATATGAAATGTTTGCCTTAATACAAGATATGGAATACGAAGAACCTGAGTTATCACTAGAGGAATATAAACGGAGGTTGGGTAAATATAAACAAAAGACAATACAAAGATTTATTGACACCAAACAATTTACAAGGGAACCTGATGACCCAGATAGTGTTAGTCCTGAAAGTTATGAATTAGAGGACAGTGATGGTAGTATACATTATGAAATAAAAATAGAGGATGATGTCGAATGGACAGTTGAATCATTAAAAAGAAAAATTGAAGAAATGGGTGGAAGGTTCACTGACAATGATATACAAAGAATGTGGGACCTAAGGATAAGGATAGAATTGATATTAACAGAGGACTTTTTAGGTACATTTTTCGAATTAATGGGACTAAGTGATAAAAAATTAAAAGATGAAATAAATGAATGGTTGACAAAAGAAACATTAATATGTGGAAATTGTAGAAATAGAAAGTTACCTGATATGATAGCAGACATTGGACAATGTAAAAATTGTGAACAAGAAGTATTATTAGAATTAAAGGACGACTTAGAAAAACTAGGGTACGAATTAAATGTGTCAGAAATAGGGAGAATAAGAGAATTCAGGATAAGCAATAGTATAATATTAACAACGGAATTTATGGAAAAATATCTCCAGGAAATTGATACGAATGACAAAGAATTAAGGATAAAATTATATGAATGGATAAATGAAAATACCACATTTTGTTATGAATGTGGAATAAGATGGATAAACAATAAATTTGACGAAGGAAAAACCAAGTGTAGGGATTGTGAAAATGACGAAAATGAAATTAATATCAGGGTTAAAAGATTAAAACAAATATGTGATGATAATAAAATAGGAATAACTAATGGAGAGTTATTGAGGTTAATCAGTATGGGATATACTGATGGAGAAATATTGGATCAAGAATTTATTGAAATATTCCAAGGAAATAAAAATGAAATGGAGAAAAATTTAAGGCGAATATTAGATAAATTTCTAAA